CAAAAGAGACCGTGTCTTGTTGGGTGCCTGCCTTAACACTTCTTCTGTTCCAACTTTATCTTCCTTAAATTCTTTCTTTTTCTATTACCTTCACTCACCACCATTGTTTTTTCCTTCCTTTTTTTCAAAATACATTCGAATCACTTAATTATTAACTCAATTATATATATATATAATTTAATTATTTAATTGATATATTATTGTATTATTAAGTACTAGATAGAATAATATGATAAAATAATAATTTTAATTTTTAAGAAGTACATAAATGATATCAAAATGAGTGACTATGTCATAAGTAAAAAGAAAAAGACTTGTAGAATAGTAGAGCAAACAGAGTTTTTGCACATTTTCATTAATCCATGAACAAGATCAATATAGGCACATAGATTCATGGATTCATACATCTCGGAAGAGAATCAATAGAAAAAGAAAGAATATGAAGTAATTGATATATTTCTCAAAATAAACAAAAAGAAAACGAAAAATAAAACATAAATTATAGACCAACTAAGCTTTTATCGAGAATTTGTTTAAGAATAAGAAAGAGGAATCTCATGTAATTACCATGAAATAAGGTTTACTCCTATTTAATGGGATTCCGTAAATGTTTTATTTCAAAAATAAAAAGTTCAAAACAATTGAGATTTTTTTTTGAAATTGGATGCAATTACTAATTTATGATGTGACATGTACATAACGAAAACATCATTCTTAATTTTATATGAATTTTTATGAAAGTATTTCATTTTGTTTGTTTAGATGAAAGTTTTATTTTCCCATGATATATCCTAATTTTTTAACTTAATTCAACTCTCATAAATCATACAAATAACAAAGGGCTTTCGTTGTTTAGCATTTGCAGCATTTCAACTCAATAAAATAAGTAAAGCTGCTTGTGTGGTATTGGGATAAGTTTTAAAATCAACGTTATTACTTAAAGAGAAAATAATATCAGTGATCGAAAATGTCTTATAATATATAATTTTGATCAATTTTTTTTTGATTTGTCAAAATGACCAACAAAATCGTAATGCGTATCGTAAATCAGTTTCCAGATTCACAATGCGATTTTGACTATCGCAACGCGATAATACAATCCAAATTCGTTGCGATAGTCCAAGTTCACGCAACGACTGGTGGTATTGAATTTGTTTCTTAAGAATTTTCTCTAAAAATATAGTATCCGCGCGGACGTGTCGAAGACACGTATTACCACGACCACGACCACGACCACGACCACGACCACGACCACGACCACGACCACGACCACGACCACGACGGCGGCGGCGGCGGTACGCGATAATCCCCTTTGTTCTCTTCCACTCAACAAGGAAGTGGGAAATGCAAACCTTAAATACTCATTCCCAATAGTGTTTTCAATACTATGTGGGATTGAGCATTGCAAACACTTGAGAATCTTTTACACTATCGCAACACATTCTTTATTGTTTCAAACTCCACGTGAATTTGGAATAGTTAAAATGTAAACTTATTTTGGATTTTTCACTATCACAACACTTTTTCACTATCGCAACAACACGTTTTTCAAACTCTCGCAACACATTTTAACTATCGCAACACATTTTTCAAAATCGCGTTGTCAATCTGGATATTCGTGTTGCGAATTTAGAAACTGAGTTGAAAAATTAGAGTTCGCGTTGCGATTTTGTTGATCATTTTGGTAAATCCAAAAAAAAATAGTTAAAATCGTATATTATAAGGCATTTTCGGTCACTGAGGTTATTTTCTCTTAATTAAATTATCTTCAACTTAACTTGTTTACTGTAAAGACTTTCCCTGCTTGTTCTTGGGCAAAGCACGCTCTGGTTGTGTGTCTGATGGCTTCGTTTGCGGTTCATGGACGGCACATCATCACATATAGGGGTTTACTGTAAAGACTTTCCCTGCCTGTTCTTGAGCAAAGCACGCTCTGGCTGTGTGCCTGATGGCTTCGTTTGGGGTTCATGGACGGCACATCATCACATATAGGGGCTGCTGCAATTACTAGAAATCAAATAGGTCACATCCAATACTTTACTGCTTCATTGTTTTAAATACATGCTTTCAAGTTTCAAGGCACTCTCTTCAAAGTTGTAACCTGACACTAAACCACCCCCAATTTATAATTGTTTGTTTGATCAAACTATGTGTGGACCAATAACTATTCAGTTTAAAACTTTTCTTCAGTAATATAAATTTAGACTAAATATAATATATTATATGTTTAAATACTCTTAATCTTTTGATAATGATCGCTCATATTCTTATATATTCGGTGCTCAAAAATGAACCTCAAGATATAACAATAAATTTCTTAACCACTTAGACCGTTTGATTTGTGCTAAAAGCCTCTTTTCTTTTTTTCACAAAAAACCCTTTATTTTTAAATGAGCATAATAATAATTTTATCATTATAATTTATTTTAAGATAAATTTAAGGGTTATTGACTAAATTTATGAAGTTAAATATATTTTGGGTAAACTATACCATTGATCACTCAACTATTTAGCCCTTTTACTTTTACCACCAATCTTTCAATTTTGTCTATTAGACCACTTAATTATTTAATTGTATTCAATCATACCACTTGTCATTAATATCTAACAAAAGTGATGACATGGAAATTAACAAAACTTGTATAATTATATATTTGGTCATCACTACTTATACATTCTATCAATTTAGTCATAATTTTAATTTTATTTAATAAATTCGCATTCAATAGGTTAAAAAAGTAGATTGAAAATATTGATGTCCAATAGTAAGCGACGTTGGTGGTTGGTGATGAAAATCGTCGCTGACCGAAGAGGGCAATGAGCAATGATGAGTCTAAATTTTAGGTGTTAAATTAATATTTTATCTAAAGTTTAAATATTAAAGTAATATTTTATTTAAATTTAGAGATTAAATTAAAATTTAAATATTTTATTGATATGTAACGTTAATAGTTTAACGTAAGTCAATGACCTAACTATTGGAATGTAATAAACCTAACATAAGTGTCTAAAATATTTTTTTTTAAATTAATTACTAAAATGAGATAGACCGAAAATAAAATTGACCACCTGCGTAATTTACCCAAAGAAAATTTTAAAGTGGTGATGGATATTCAGTTTCCAGCACACTCATTGCTCCATAATTCCATATTAAGCAACCTTCCTTCGGTTGCTAATGATTTTCTTCTGGGTTTTGTGTCGTAGGCATAATTGTAGTGGAAATGACACCATAACAAACAATGAAAGTAATTGCTTGGCAAGATTTATTAAACTTGTATAGAAAGATAATCAGTATTGCTTTAAGCTTTATTGACATTATTACAGTAGAAGATGCTGTCTTAAACTTAAAAGGATTTTGGATAATTATTCTAACTTTGTCTCTTGCAACATGTTCGCTAGTTTTATTGTCCGACTCATGATGTTTGTGCTTTTGCTTTTAGTTACGGTCAACAAACAAAGCACTGCAAATCATGTTATACCGTTATATATATTTTTGGCTGTTATCGTGAAAAAACACAAAAACAAGATGCCTGATCTGAAACTTTCCTTAAATTCTAATTTCCCTTTGCAGTGAACTTCCTAGTGTTCTTCCAAATAGATTCTGGGATTTTGCATCATAAATTCGCAAGGTACAATATATGTTGAGTTAATTGCATCACATGTCTCAAATTATGATCTTTATTTTAAATCAGTCCCTAAACTTTTACACATTCTAATTTCATCCTTAAACTACGGCTGTCATTCTAAATAAATCCTTAAAGCTTTTGAATATTTTAATTCCATCCCTAAACTATGTCCTTCAATTCCATCCCTCGTTAATAAAACTCGTTAGGCCAGGTTATATTATTATATGTTTTTAAAAAAAATTAGGTTAACTAAGGTTGAAACTAATTACATATTTGGTTGAATTTAGGGATGAAATCGGAAGATTCAAAAGTTTGGGTTTCATTTGAAAATAAGGGTCATAGTTTGATAATCAAGTTAAAATGTTCAAAAGTTTACGGACTAATTTAATGAGAGTCATAATTTGGGGATATAATTAAAATATCCAAAAGTTTAAGATCAATTTAAAATGAGGGTCGTAGTTTGGAGACATGTGATGTAATTAACTCTATATTGTTAGATTTTTTTTAGATTGCCATACTAAAAAAATAAAATTACTTTTATGCTGCTTTTAGTTTTTTGTTTACTATTAATTCTCATTATTACCCGTAACATACATAAATCAAGTTGGTAAATGATAAAAAGAGGATTGAGAAGATTGGTTTTTATCAAGCGTGCGTGTATTTGTTGCATCTTGCATGAATGTTTATGGATGGAGCAATGATAATGGCGTAGGGCCCGACTATGTGTAAAGAACAGCACTTGTTTACATTACTGTTAGAGACAATTTAACAACACCCATCTAATTATTTCTTATCGACCACTTGTAACAATTTCAGCATTTTAAAGTATCATCCCATTATTTTTAAAAGTTAGAGTGATTAAATTAGGAGTAATTTGAAAGTTAAGTAATTGAATTTAAAAAATAAACTTCAATGACCAAAATAAGAGTGAGAATATAATTGGATGATTAATGATGTAATTTATCCATAAAAATATCATATTGTTACCGTTTCGATGAGTTTTTAATGATAATGTATAAAAAAACAAAAAATAAACGTTAGATATGATTTTAAAATAAGAGACAAAAAATAATAATTTAATTACTAAACGCATAGTTTAACCTCGTGTAAAGGATTTCGGCAAGGTTAAGAGCACCCAGTTCCTATTTCGTAACTCCCACAACATTAATTGGAAAAAATAAATAAAAATAAAAAAAAACCTCCCACAACATGGAAAAATTTGGAAAATCCTATGAAACATTCATTTTCCATGTCGTGGCGCCATCTTATTGGTAACTTGCTAGGAAATAATCAGGTGCATCACACCCTATGATAGTCATATCAACGTACACCAAAATATAATCACTACTATATAATTATCAAATTCTGAGGTGTCTGTAGTAGGGTTTAATGGTGAGTTTCGTCCGCATTTTCTATTCCTCTTTTACAGCCGCCAAAAAAAGATCACCGCTCTATATTCTTTTTAATCGAAAAACCTCTCTACAGATTAGAACGCGCACTGAATTATAGACCGACTCGATTTTCTTTTTCTGTAAACATGGAAGCTTCGGGGATTAGCTCCTCGGAATTGAGAATCGAAGCTGCGACTGAGGAGTGTTCGGATCTTGGAAACGTGTCATCGGCTTCAGGTTCCACTAGAGTTGACCTGTCTAAGAGAAAGATTCTATTCCATCCGGCAAGGAAGCCCCTTAATGGGTTTACAGGTTGTGGTGTTGGGGATTTTAAAATCGAGACTCTAAACCCTGGGTCGGATCCGAAGCGGGTAACCGGAGTGCGGTCGGGTCAAGTCGGTGCTACAGGATTGAAGGTTGATTCTTCTGATGTGCTGGAGAATGGGTTGGATCCAGTTCTCAGTCTGAGGGCTACTTTTCGTAAAATTGTAAGCATTTCCTTTAATGTCAATTGTTACTTTTTGATGTGTTTATTCCCCTATTTGTAACCCGTCTCAAGTTTTACGTTTTGTTTAGCTTTTGGGTTTGTGACGTTTGGTATTTGCTTAATTTTTACGTCTTTTTTATCCTTTCTCTCGACGTTATTTGAGTTTCTTATTTGTGTTGGATGTTATCATGAATGGTTAAACTGCTTCACTTCATTGGGCTTGCTTTTATACAATATTCGTTTACGTGATTATTTGTATGGCTCTAATATATGTGGATGTTACAATTAACTCAGAAACTATCATGGCTTGAATAATTTACAGGGTGCTGGTTTGGAGAATCTCGGAAATACTTGTTTTCTTAATTCAGTATTGCAATGCCTGACGTACACTGAGCCTTTAGTTGCTTACCTACAAAGTGGCAAGCATCAAAATTCCTGTGAGTGAAAGTCTCCTCTCTTCTCTCTAGTACTACGTTTGTTGAATGTTTCAATTATATGCATCAATACGCATGCAGCCATGCATAAAGTTATTCATTAGATTTTGCTATCAGTGCAACCCTCGTTTCACATGTTATGTTATTATATATTTCATCTCTGATGGACTATTTCAATTGGTTTGTGAAGGCCATATTGCTGGGTTTTGTGCCTTATGTGCTATTCAGAAACATGTTAGCCGTGCTCTACAATCAACCGGGAGAATATTGGCGCCAAATGATCTGGTCTCAAACCTACGGTGTATCCTTTTTGAAATAACTTGATATTCATTGCATATTTCCTTATTAATACTAAGCTAACTGATCTTAGTCAACGGGATGATACTAGCTTTATATTTCTGAAATTTATTTGATGGAATTATTTGTTGTATTACTGCCTCAAACTTAACCTGAATTAATATTGTTGACTAATTACTGATGTTCTAATAAAGGCACTGCACTTTTGTGGTTTCCTGGATTTGTGATTCTTGACTTCATGCTTAGGCATATCTAGAAACTTCCGAAATTCTCGACAGGAGGATGCACATGAGTACATGGTAAACCTGCTGGAATCCATGCACAAGTGTTGCTTACCTTCAGGAGTACCAAGTGAATCTCCCAGGGCTTATGAGAGGAGTTTGGTGCACAAGATCTTTGGTGGTCGCCTTCGTAGTCAGGTATAGCTTTTCTTGTTGGATTATGGTATGATTCCAAACAGTTTTCCTAGATTTTGACAGTTTCTGAAATGTGTTGCAATTAACCAATGAAATTTCATGTACACATTACTATATATATGTTCAAGTTGTTTAAACTTCTTATAAAATGGTGATCCTGCACATTATTCAATGGTTTCTTGTTACGTTAGGTGAAGTGCTGGCAGTGTTCTTATTGCTCCGATACATTTGATCCCTTCCTTGATTTAAGTCTGGAAATAGTTAAGGCGGATACCTTGCCCAAAGCACTTAAAAACTTCACTGCTGCGGAGCTGTTAGATGGAGGGGAGAGGCAATATCAATGCCAACGCTGCAAGCAGAAAGTTAAGGCTACGAAACAGCTAACAGTTTACAATTCACCTCATGTACTTACAATTCATTTAAAGAGATTTCAAGCACATAATTTGGGGCAAAAGATTGACAGGAAAGTTGAATTTGGTTCGACCATAGACATGAAGCCTTTTGTCAGTGGTTCCAATGTGAGTAAACCCATCTTTTATGATGTTTACTTTTCTGAAGTTTGTTATTAAGCCATTCACTCAGTAACACATAATTTAATGTCAGAAAAATAACGCGATATCATAAAAGTATCTCCCATGACTTTTAAGGGGAAATTAGCTTAGGAAGAAGTTTATTGTCCATTTACTTATCTCTCTTTTTTTTTGTTTTTTTTAATCTTTGAAGTTTAAATATGTACAGCACCTTGAATAAATTTGACATCATGTTTTATGTGATGAATTGAAAAGTTATGTTTGTTTGTTTGGCAGGAAGGACATTTGAAGTACACTCTTTATGGCGTTCTGGTTCATCGTGGATGGAGCACTCATTCTGGCCACTATTACTGTTTTGTTCGCACATCGAGTGGCATGTGGTACTCCCTTGATGACAACAGGGTACTTGAAACAACTTTGCCCTTTGGATTTTTCCTATTTATTTGTATTTTGGTAGGGATTATCAGTGATAGGACATTTTCCCTACTTATTTGGAAGGGCAGCCTTCCTTTCTATTTCCACTAAATAATTCTATTCCATAGAGTTATCAATGGGGAAAGGATCAAGATGCTGACACTTGTGGCTTACTATGCTGTTTGCAAACCGCTAGAGATGTTCATTATTGGAACTTGAGGACTACTTTTATTTAGGCAAACATGGGCCGTTTGATATATTTATTCCATCACATTTAAAGGAATGAAGAAACCAAGGGTGGGGGATGTGAAGCTGTTTTTTATTTCTTATTCTATTACTTAGATGTTCCTTACTAGATGCTTTATTATGGTTCTAGGAAATGAGCCGTCCAATATGTTTCCGTGCAACAGGTTCTCCAAGTCAGTGAGAGGACTGTTTTGGAGCAGAAGGCTTACATGTTGTTTTATGTTCGTGACAGAAAAGATACTGCTCCAAGAAATCCTGTTGATATTCTTCAGAGATATAAGATAAAAGCAAATGTTAATGGAAAGTCCATTGTTAATCAAAATCCCAAGGAGCATGTGCAAACTGGTCCAATTCAGAATAAATTATCTGCTTTAGACACTTCTGCTGCTATGCCTCAAAAGGAAACCATTAACGGTGCCTTATCAAAGGAGACAATCAAGAAGGAAGTGTCATCTAAGCAAAACACCGTGCAACTAATGAAAGAAGGGCTAGTTATTAAAAAGGAGTCTATTTTACCCTCTTCCAATGTGCCATTATTGAAGGTCTCATCACAAGCGTCTGCTTCAAACCTAATTCATGGTGAAAACTTGCAACCGTCAGCAGGTTCTGTGGTTGGCAATTTTGTGAGTTCTAATATTGAAAATTCAACTGTTACCACCGGTGCCAAAGATGGTGACTGCAAAGAGAGTGGAAACTGCAAAAGGGAATTTGGAGTCGGAGTGATGATATCACCGAATTGTGGTGGTGTTCAGAAGTCGAGCACTGATAAGATGGCAAATAAAGAGACCTTGCAGGAGGTATATGCCTGTTTCATTCCCTACACTGTCTTTTTGTCTCCTTACTTGGGTGTTATTACTCCTGTTTCTAATTTTTATCCCATTTACCTCCAGATTAATCTTGCTTCAAACATTGGGGTTTTGAATATCGTTGCGTCAGAAGATTCTATCGATAAAGCAGTGAAGAAAGCTCCTGGTGGAGCTCCATCTACTACTGATGAGGCATCTAAGGATGTTAACGCCATTAGATCTCCAAAAAGGCGACATTGTGAGAGTAATAAGGTGAGTGTCTCTATATGCATAATATTCCATATCTATCTCTAGTAATGGTATTTAATATTGTGTATATTGAATTATGATTTCTTTCTCATTCCAATTCTAGATCGGAGATGTTTCCTACCACAATAGCAACGAGTCATTGAGTGAGAAGGGTGATGATAATTGCCAAAAGATAGTTACCAAATCACCTTCTAGCATGCCATATGGATCTTTGGAGACTGAAGCTCCTCAGTTTGCACCCTGTAGAAGATCAAAGAAGCATCTGAAGCGTCAGCTTAAAGACATGTCTTTCGGCTTAAAATCAAAATTTTTCTTGGCTTCTCTACTCATGCACAGCAAGAAGAAACGTAAAAGGAACAAGGAAAGCACATTAAATGAGAATATTCTTTATAAAGGAACTTCATTGGATAAGGATTGTTATTCTTCAAATCTGGAGCCATCTACATCTGAGAAATCTAGCACAATAATGTTAGGTTCGATTCATGGGAGGAAAAAGGCAACGGATGATGGTATCCCAAAAAGTGGCAACAATCTTGGCATTTCCTTATTGAATACTGTAGATGGAGCATTTAAAGAGAGGATTTATGAGAATGGTACCGTTCTTTCTACTGATCAACATATAGGCAGAAGTCCTGGCCCAGTCTCAGAAGCAATCTGGCATAACTCACGAGAAACTGATTCTTTGAAGCATAACAACGCCCCTCAGCATAGACATGTGCTTTCGCAAGGCCTCAGGGAGACTGTTGGTGAGTGGTTATTTTAAATATCTATTTCAGCTCCTCTTTTACTTCATAGTTATGAATTACATTTCTCACATTTTCGTGTATTTCAACTGCTGAAATTTCTCTGACTTCTATGTATTTCTTTGGTCTGTTTTGCTTGGGGCAGTTCCAAAATGGGATGATACAGGCTCTGACACACCCATGCAGACAGTAGAACGAAATGGTATGAGTAGTCTCGGAATTGGATATGTTCCGGATGAATGGTAAGTGAACAGATAGGTGTATTGTCTCATATTTTCCCCATAGAACCACATAGCTTTGACTGGTTTAAAGGATTTAGTCTCTCATAATGCTTGGTATAAAATTTGACAGGGATGAAGAATATGACCGAGGTAAGAGGAAGAAAATAAGGCAAAATAAGCACCAGTTTGGTGGTCCCAATCTTTTCCAACAAATTGCCACCAGGAAAACACAGTTAAAGAAGGCCAAATTGGACCACTCCGACTCTGGAAACCAACCATTCAGGATATGAAGTAATAACTGGAACCGTTTTTGACCTGTCTGTTTGATGTTCTATTTCATTAAATCATGTAACAGTGATTGTTGCTGTCTTGTTGACACGAGCAAAATTGTATTATGTAGATCTTGAGTGTTTAGGCTGGACAACTATGAACATTCAACCGATTCAGCACTTATGTTTTACGTTTTCCCTTTTTAAAGTGTTTTCTTAAGCGAAAGAGACGTGAGTTTTTGGAAGTAGGGATTGTAGTTTTAATTTACAATGCCATTTTGTATTAAAGGGTATTGCAATGAGGGTGGTATGGTGGGAATGTTAGGGGTGCACATGAAAATTTTAATTTCTTATATATTGTTTTCATCCATATATGACTGGCATAAGCCAAAGGTAGCAAAAGATTAGTGCATTGTTATAATTAGATCTTTTAATTCTCTTTTAATATTTTTGTAGAATTTTGACTTTGGGTTTAATTTGAATTTGATCTTCAATTCAAGTTATCAGTATCTAGCCACAATCGTTCCTAACAATCACAACAATCAAGTGAAGGGATGATTGTTGGCTAAATACTGTTGGTAATGAGAGCAAAATATAAAATGGGATGGTTTGCTACTACAAACCAAGTAAAATTTTCCAGAAGAAAAAAACATTCAACAAATTAACTATCAAATTATCGTAATTAATCAAATATATTGGGAACTTTCATACTTATACTGTCTAACCATCTGGAGTAGTATTTATTTACCAAAATTGACATTTAACTCTAATTAAAGACATCTAATTATCCATAATCGGTTGGTTAGTGAGATAAGATACTAGATCCTCAAGTAAAATCACTGATTTAAATTCTGACGTTTGTGAATGAAGTAAATTGGGTTGGGAGGGTCGTCTTATCATTCATGAATGAGGATAGCTTTTAAATTATATAAAAAAAATTCATAATATTTCTCATAATAATAATAATTCGCTCTATATTTTTACTTTAAAAAATAATTCTAATTTTTATTTATAAATAAAAATACAAGATGTTTTATTTTTATATTATTAGCAAGTAGTAATGGGAAAAATGATTGTGAGCATAATGGTAGTAAGGGATAATAATCCACCCACCAGCACTCCACAGCAGGTTGGAAGAAATTAGGGGTCAAATTCCATCACAACTCGTATTGGAGTCCCTAACTTAAATCATGAGAGGACCGACTTGGTGCAATCTATTAGATAATAATACAATTTATATAAAAATATGAATTATTATTTAATACATTATTAATGAATTTTTTATAAATTATTTTAATTTATTGTCGTGTATTTCTCATTTAATATTTCAATAAATAATTAAAATGTGTACTGATAAATTTAAATTATTCATAAAGAAGAATCTCCATTGTTAATGTATTAAGTAATGATGCATAAAATATTGTAAAAAGTATAACACTTATAAAATCAACAACCAACTGGTATAATGGAATGAGTTATGAATGAAAAAAATAGGTTGAGAAGATCACTTTCACAACAAAACTACATAAAATCCGATTTTAATTAATCAATTTATTGATTAAAACCAATGATTATATTAAAATATAACACTTGTAAACAACTTTGCATTTTCTTTTGTGAGTGCAATACTCAACTTGGATTATTTTTCTTTATTTTGTATAAGAAGCAATATTATATATATATATATATATATATATATATATATATATATATCCCTTTCACAAAAGTGAGTCGGGAAAGGATGTTGAGGCACTCGTGGGTTAATCGGCCCAATCATAGACGAGTCCAGACTCATCATCTGTTTCCCCCGTTCCACCTTTGCTTTCCATGTTAGAACGATCATCTTGGGTCCCCCTGTTGAATATGTAAACTTTTTGGTGTTCTTTCCCAAGGAGAATGCTAACCCAAAATCTAAAAACTTCCCTGAATATATTGGTTAAACCACTTCCCCCCCCCCCCCCCCCATAATCAATGAATATTTTATTGCAAAACCTTATTTTGTTCACTCGTAATTCCATACCATCAATGACTCAATTTCCCACTTTTCTCAGCTTAAAACCATTGTTCACCTTCACCATATGTGTGATTCCTCGGCATCTCTCAGATGCAAATTATGATAAAAAACTGACTAATTGCAATGAACAAAGACTGCACACAACCATAAATCGTCACATTATAAAGGTACAACACAATGCAAGAAGGAAGTGTATTTGACAAGATGATGTACCTAACTCGATGAATAAGAAAGTAGAAGATTAAAAACTAAACCTACGTGGAAAATGAACAAGTAGATTCTAAGAACTTAATATTGAAACTTGTAACAATAATTAAGATGGAACCACACCCATTACACACCACTCCAACTTTTCAATCACCCTACTAGGAGCATAATTCAAGGGCAGAAGGGATTCCTCTCTTCCCCTTTTCAAACCTTCTACGGCACCTCAAAGAATCCCACCAAGTTTAGATCACCATCAGGACCATCTTCTATGACTCCGTTTTGTCTTAATGAAGTGAATCGTTCAGAGCAACCGACTCTCACTTTGTTCATTAACAAAACAAAACTTCTATCATACAAGTAAAAACAAAATGTGGGAACAAGATGAAGCGAGGAACAAAGAATTCTACTTGAGCCCAGTTTTCTCAAATGTTAGCTGCAATTATGCTCATCTTCACAAACTCAAAGCACCCAAAAGATTGATAAATTATGCAGTTTAGACACTAATTCAAACAGGAAGTAGCGATAACAGAGAAAGACCAAATGCATTGAAGTGTAATTTGGAGGATTTCACATGACAAGGAAAATAAAGCTCAAGGTGTGATATGGGGAAGAAGAAGATTGTCAAATTTCAGTTTGCGATTTTCTACGTATACAAGTTTATTTGAAAAACTACACGGTAATAAGAATTTAAGACATCCATCCATCCACATATATATAGACAAACACATATATTAATATATCAAAACACTCCCATGTTTCTAATGCAGAATTCTACATATAATTATAGCAAAACCACCAAAAAAATGAACTTGGAATCAAGCGTTCGTTAAATCCAAACAAGGCCAACGAGACATTAAAATAGCACAATATCAAGAACAATAAAAGAGTAGAAATACACAAATCCAAAGTTAAGATAAACACAGAAGATAACAGTTTAAGGATCATCACTTTACATCAAAAGAGAGAAAATTTGAAGAGAACTAAGCAGAGTAATAAAGTGGACGCCTGTACTCGTCGAAGTACTCATCGCGATCCACAAAAACAATAGCGTAGAGAGCATAGATAATCCCAGGAATATAACCCAGAACAGTTAACAGCACACAAATCCAGAACTCAACCTGAAAAAGAAAAGCATCAAACCCCAGAATTTCATCAGACCAAAACCTCAACTAGGACAGGATAATTTAGTAGAAGAGATGGGAGATAAAACATTGACTCACGCTGCAGCAACCGTGCCTGAAGCAAACTCCGACAGGAGGGAACAAAATCGCGATCAAGAGTTCACATAAAATTTCGCAGCGAGTAGGCATGTTGCTGTCGTTGATGTACAAGATTAAAAGCGGATTAACAAACAAACCAGAAATGAAGGGAACCTTTTACCCACGACTTTTGAGATTTGATTTTTGGAAAGGGTCAAAAAACAACAGAAATAAATAAATAATGTCCGGCTCCAACTTATTAGATCTGGAACCTCCATTTTTGTGGATCATTGTGATCACGTGATCATTTCACCTTTGTTTAATCCTATAAGCATGAGAATTATGTATTTTTTTTCTTAGTTTATGGTTGGGACTTACCCTCGCTTTATTGAATTGATACGCAAGTCTCCATTAGCCCATAAGAATTAGCTAAGGCCCAAAAATAAAAGGAGATTTTTGTGTCATGCATCACCAAATGTCACTGATTTGGTGACCCACAGATTTGGGAGAGAAAACGAAGTTTATATAATATATATATTCATGGTGACACGTGTTTTTAATATATATATATATATATATTGTTGATATTTTTTTATAAATTCATGTCATTTTTTTTATTTTTAGTACAATTTATTAATTTTTAAAAAAACGTATTTCATCATTCACAATTTTTTCAAAATCAAATTATATATATATAATTGCGTCTAATCACTTATTTTTTCTAGATTTAAATCTACTATCTACCCTTTTGTCGGGTTTAATCCAAAATTTTCATTTTGATAAAAAAATATGAATGAATGAGTAAAAAGCCAATAATTTGGAGAGAAAATGCCATTAGCCCAACATTGGAGAAAGCTTAAAAGGTAGGGACAGTAGGGCGCTATGGCGGCCTTCAATTAGCTTATGGTGGATGGAAGGCAGCATCCATGTCCAAGGTACTATTGTAACATAACAATGTGATCCTGGTGGATGCATGAATGGACACTTATCCTAACATTCAAGTTCCTATCTTTCGTGACATTTGAACTAACATCACCTCACACGTCTGCACAGTTGCCATTTGCTTCGGGACCCATACACACCCTTAACATCCCAAATCATAGCAAGGTACAAAACTTGCTTCTCGATTACTCTGACCGGCCGACCAAAGACGAGCAGCATCCATGAGTATGAAATAACCTACGTCTTCAGTGAGAAGATATCTATTTCCAAAGTAGCATTTTTTACATTTATCTTAATAATTCCAATAGATGCAACTATATTTTCTTTATATAAGAGACAATGAAGAAAGCAAGGACATAGAGCAATTAAAAAAGGGATGGAGGGAAGCTAAACTCACAAGCGTTCCAATCCCTCAAACTTGTAAGCACTTCTACTACAAGACACTTAAACCCTCAATGCCACCTGATCTTGCCATGAGATCTTTCTTTTCCCAGTTCTATTTGACCCATCTCCCGTGTTCCTGCAGGCCAATATTTTAACTTCATTGTGCAGCTCGTCACTTCCAACTCTGATTGAACTTCTCTTGAAATCATCTGTTCTCACTGAATTAGTTTCTGCCTGTAGTTCTTCCTCCTCCCTCTGCATCGAAGGAGATTCTGGAGACATTTAGCTCATGACAAAAGATTACATCGCAAACAAATTTTTAACGCAATAATAGATTACCGAAATCTGGTTCAAGTCAAAAATCGGTTTTGTTCTTCGAGCATTGTCCTCTTTTCTGTTGTGAAGCCTTTCCTTTTGGTTTAAATGGAGAACTGATAAAGAACTTCTCAAAGCAGGATCCTCCTTTCCACTGAACACTTTCGGTTGCTTCTGGTTTAAGTCGAACATAAGGGAAGGATTAGTGAAACTCGTTCCCTTTGCACCATTAGCCTTTCCCTTTAGGTTCAAATCAAAACCCATAGCTCGACTTATCAAAGTACCCTTCCCAGTTGATTTCTTCGCCTTCCTATTCGATTTACTTATAATCACCATATTCTGTGGTTGCAGAAAATGTCTTTCCACCGGGGTGTTTGATGATTGGTTTTGCATCAAGAACTTGTGCCTCAGTTTCAAGAACCTAACAACAAAAAACGTTTTAACTCTATCAACCAATGTGATTCTAAAACTATGCAAATCATACAAATTCATGGTGGAATAACATCATACTTGACTTCAGCCAACAGGGTCGATCTTCGCTCTTCCGTCATCTGCAATTTTTTTCGCAAGGATTCCGTTTCCTGCAGAAACACAAAGAACTTAAACATTAGTTGGGAGTATAGGTTATGGCAATTGGCAAGTAGCCTTCAATTTACTGCTCCCGTTTTGTAGTTTGTGAGAAGACATGATAATTTATTAACCACTGCTTGTTTCTGCATAGAAGAACATTACACAGAATCACCGTGAACAATCAAACAGGGTGGGAAATTTAAGAAAAAAGGGAAATAACTTCCTTGTTACCAATATGGAGAAAGGTAAATATCAACACAAACAACCAAAACTTCTCATTTCCTAGTTCGTATAAGGCATGATCTTCATCAATTCGAGACCAAAACATAAGATCCAAACAAAGGAGTGATCTTCTTATGATCGACCAAAAGATTGAAGACAAATAGCATAAATCAAGAGAACCCAGAGGATTATAAACAACGGGATCTAATAAAATCTGACTGAATGTTACTCAAAATCTAAACAATCCACAAGAAGATATCACCTTGTGCAAGTCTTCAAAGTCTTCCATATGGCTTTGATACCTGAACGGCACCCTTTGGCCCTCGTACAAATCATATGGAGAATACTCCATAACAGGAGAAGCAGCAGCAACAAACCCTTTCATCTTCTTCATGTTTCAGATCACAGCGGTGAGATAAAGAGAAAAAGAAACCCAAAAGGCCAAAACAAGGGAATACGGTGTAAGAGAAAGAAGATTATTTCACGGGAAGGAAGAAAGGATAAATATAGAGATTCAGAGAACGAGGCAAGAGAAAGATATAGAGTAAGGTTCTCGTCTCCCTGTTTTCTCTGTGAAAACTTTAAACCGAAACAAAGAAAACCCGAAGAAGCCCACATAAGTCGGTGAAAAAATTGTTTCCTTCGAGAGTTCGAGAGAAATAGATGAAGATGGGATCTTTCGGGGTGAGATAACAGAAGGGTATTTCCGGTAAACAGAGAGTTTTGACAGGTGGGTTTGATTGGAGGACATTTTGATTGAATACACATCTATCTTCCCTTTCCTTTTTGTTTTTCCTTTGTAACATAAATTTTGGTCCAGCTGGGCCATTGAACAAGAAAGGGAGAGTTGGGTGACTTTGAAGAGGATGCGTGGAGTTTCCATGTTTTTCTCCCCGAGTAGATAGAGATAGAGAGAAAAGGAAATCAAGTTTGTTTCTTTTCTAGAAAGATAAAGATGTAGGCTTGGGGAAAAACCGGCCGGAAGATAAGCGCAGGATGATGCTTTCTTATTTTGTTATTGTAGTAGCTGGTACCTGACTGCCCGCCCTTGTCTGCTGTTTCACTTGTTGGAGGTACTTATGTTTTAGGCTCTTTGGCCTTACCAGACTATAAATTCTAAAACCTCATCTCTTGAAACGAACCCAAATTTGATTTCAACTTTCCACCTACCCTTTATGATTCCTGCTATTTAACTCCCCCATATTACTAGAAACAAATTGAGTATGCAAGAGAATTCAACGGAGAATTGTAGTTGCCGAGATGATAATTGTTGATAGATATTTTCTTTGTGACAGAATATGTGGAATATTTATAGTGGCATTTTTCATAGATTAACAGAATAAATAAATTTAGTCGTTATATAAATATTTAGTATACGCATTATAGTCTATCTAAAATATAATGATACTTCCCTCCCAAAAATTGGAGATCCTTTAACAATTGTAAATGAAAAAAATCTACTTAATTTTTTTCTGCAAACATGTGAATGCACTGTAAAATTTCTTCAAAGTGAGTGATTATTAATACATTCGGGATCTTTTTAAAATATACTAATGGGTTCTTTTATCAGGATTTATTGTTATTGTACTAAATTAGAAATGGTTATCTGGTGGTGGATGCTAAGTTAGGGTTTGGTATTTCATTATGTAAATGTGTATTCTTTCTTTATGGAGGTTTACATTATTAGATTTCTCCATTATTTTGGCAGAAGCACAAAATAACTTTTTGCATATTTCAAGGACGCATGAAGGCGAACCTTGGTGTTATTTTAGTCCAAATGGGGGTTTAAATAGATATTCCATAAGTAAACTATGTAACCTGAACAAATTACCCAGATATGTTGTGGCAAAATCTAAACTTGCTGGGACTGGGATGCCTGAAGCTTCCTATTCTTTATCAGGTTTTTATGGAAACCTACTCAGTCATTGAACTATTTTTTTTTTTAGATCATGCCCCTCATAATTTTATATTTCATTTTCATCAAATTTTAAAATGCTGAAGCTAAACTATCTTCAAAAGTTAGAGGAGTATGCTTTTATGTCGTCACAGCTATTGCAGCCATTTCACTGATTGGGTTTATGATAGTGGCACACCCCTTTGTGCTCTTGTTCGATTGCTATAGCAGAAAAGCTCAGCATTTTATTGCCAAGCTTTGGGCTTCAGCTACTGTTGCTCCATTTTTTAAAATTGAGTATGAAGGATTGGAGAATTTGCCTTCACATTATTCTCCCGCCGTATATGTATCCAACCACCAGAGTATTTTGGACATCTACACGCTTCTAACTCTTGGAAGAAGCTACAAGTTTATCAGCAAGAGGGGGGGGGGTTCTTTTTCCCATTATTGGGTGGGCCTTGTCTTTGACGGGTATAATTCCATTAAAGCGCATGGACAGCCGAAGCCAGTTGGTATCCTTTTTCGCCTTTTCCGTTATAATTCTTTAGATCGCAATATGGGTTTGATTTGTCAACTTTAAATGGTAATTTGGGATTAATCTATTGTAACATTATCTTTTAGCTTTGCAGGCTTGGTTTATTTTTTCTGTAGTATGGGTTTGAATTCTATTACTGCTTGTAGGAGTGTTTTAAGAGATGTATGGATCCCATAAGGAACGGTGCTTCTATCTTTTTCTTTCCAGAAGGCACGCGGAGTAAGGATGAGAACTTGGGTGATTTCAAGGTGAGATCTTACTAGAATTGTATTGTTTGCTTGATCGATTAAATGGTAACTATTTATTCAAAAGCTCATTGTTTTTTCTTGGTTGTAACCGGCAGAAAGGTGCATTCAGTATTGCAGCAAAAACCGGGGTGCCTGTCATTCCTATAGCCTTAATTGGCACAGGCCGAATAATGCCTGCAGGAATGGAGGGGTGTCGTAAATTCAGTATCTGTGAAAGTTATTATTCATAAACCGATCGAAGAAAGTGATCAAGAAATATTACGCCAAGTAGCTAGAAACACAATTTTAGATACGCTAAAGCGTCGAGGCTGAGAAAGTGGCCATTATGACACCTGTTTGATTTTTTGGCTCAGACTAAATCCTTTATTGCTTACTTGAGGAACATAATAGAAAGGTACTAATTGTCACCCTTGTGATCACTGTGCTTGTGATTTATTTTATTATTTTGGGAAAATGAATAATGCGGTTATGAGGTCTTTTTCTTCTGCCTCTCTTGTTATAGACTCATGTTTTTCTTCGGAAAATATGTGATGTCTCGTTATAGGACATCTCATTGCTGATGAATATGGATCATGGTTGTACTTTCATAAGTTAGTGATGAGATTGATGAAACATGTTCGACATCAGGATGTTGTCTTTCTTTCTTGAGGTATGATTCCTTCTCTGTTGACCTGCCTTCCTGCAGGTTTTATAATTCTGAACTAGCACTTCTCAGTAATATGTGATCAACTACTGCCTTTAGTCGCTTCCATTTTGCACCTGACGGACTAAGAGGGATCACGTGTTTGTGGCGGTCGATCTTATGCAATCTCAACGGTAATGTTTAGCAATGAAGTTGACCAAACTACAGGCTGAAGTTGGCATCAAAATGTTCTGGTCATAGCATGTCTTGCATTTCTAGCCATTCTAGGGGAGAGTTCAACACAAAATCTTGCCGTCCCTGGATATAACTAGTTGAGGTTGTTATCTTTCGTTCTTTCCCCCATTTGTTTATTTGTTCCTTTATATATTTATATGAAGGCATAGCGGCCGGTCGAAGATAGGGCAAAATCTTAATTTTCAGAATTAAAAAGTCGAGTTCTGATAATTTTACATTCGAGTCCCTACCAATTTTCTTCCTTTTTTTCTTATTCTTCACCCGCGTTCTTATTCTTCACCCGTCGCGCGGCGCCTCATTGTGACTTTAGTTTAATTTATCTGTTGTAATTTACTTTTTCACTTATGAAATATGAATTTAACTTCAAGGATATCTCTGTGAGTATTGCTTTCTCTATTCTCAATTATTTTTCTTTGATATTAGTTCATAATGATATACGTAGAATGTTTTTTACTTTTTTTGTTGAATTCTTTTTTTTGCTTTATATTATCAAATTTGTTTGATTATTTCACTTTACTGTAGAAATTTTGCGTTTTTTGGTTTGGTTTTGATGAATTAAAGTTTGAACAAGGAATTCCCGATCTCGAAGCCAACCCTTTTCTTTCATTAGTCTTTTCATTGCGTTTTAGTGGATCATTCGTTCGAGTAATCGTCAACTGAAGAGACTACTATGATTCATAGAATATTGAAAATGCTGACAATACTTGAAGAGAAGTGAATTGATGAATCAAGTTAACAGCCATTTTTGGGGATCCAGTAATATTGCAAGAAAATGTAATCAGTTTCTAAGCTATTTTTAGTTCTAAAGCTACAAGAACTACGAAAGTAGTTACATTTACTGAACTTATGGTTGTTACTTGAGTAGTAGAAGAGGAGATGAAGTTTGCGGCTTTTGGTAAGTTTAGAAGAGGCGCTTAATTAAAATTTTGGTTTTCCTTCTAAAGAATGAGGGCAGATATGTTGGAAATAAAAAAGATGAGTGTAATTTATGCTGTTGTGAAATATTAAACTTAGACTGATGCTTTATTGGTGAAACTGCAAAATTCTAACTGCACTAGTTTGGAATCTTCAATAGATTGTTATCTCAGGAAGCAAACTAAGATTGAAAGGATTCAAAGGTGTCAAAAATTTTGGCCAAATTTGGTGTTGAAGTCTTTTGAAACACTTTTAGACAAAAACTGTATGCGGTTATATTGCCTCTTGATTCTTGACATAAAAAATCTGATTGGTCTTAGGAGACGCAGGTCTTTGTGCTTCCTCAATCTATTAACATGATTAAAATTTTGTCCAAGAACATTGCATTATTCTGGCATTGTAGCTGCTCAACTACTGGATCTTGACCAATTATCTAAGCAACCGTGCTAATTGTTTCCCGCTTGATTCAATTAATTTCGTTGGATTTGTAGGATGTTTCTGTATGATCAATTGTAGAAGATGCTTGATTGTGGTTATAAACTTAGCATATGAGTGGACAAAGGGAGAAGTTTGTCAGGTAATAAAAGCAGTGTTCTAAATGTTCTTTCTCCACTTCTTTCTCTTCTGTGATCACAGTTAAAGGCTAATATGCTGCTTGTGTCCTATCAAAAAAAAATATGCTGCTTGTGCTGCAAGATATCTTTTGAGTGAAAGCATATAAATTCTAATTTCCTTTTATGTTCTTCAGGTTGGATGACTTGGACTCTAGATTATCATCATCCTCTGATACAGGATTGAGAAAATGTGGGTTTAACATTGATGGATCAGGTCACTCTGGCCATGCAAATGATGCAACATCAAGATCTTTCAAGAGAGGGATCAGAAAGGGATCTGAAGGACTTAAGTCAATTGGTCGTTCACTTGGATTTGAAGTTTCACCAGCAGTATTTCAAGAGGATCTTAAAGTATCAGAGAAGAAGATTTTTGATCCCCAGGATAAATTCCTCTTGCTATGCAATAAATTATTTTTCGTATCTTGTATTCTGGCAGTATCAGCAGACCCTCTATTTTTTTATCTTCCAGTTATTAATGATTCGCAAAAGTGTCTGACTATTGATAGAAAACTAGCAGTCACTGCAACGACTTTACGGACAATTATAGATGCTTTCTATCTTTTACGCATGGCACTCCAGTTTCGTACAGCTTACATTGCTCCATCATCTCGGGTTTTTGGACAAGGTGAACTTGTGATAGATCCTGCACAATTAGCCAAGCGATACTTGCAACGATATTTCATCATTGATTTTCTTGCTGTGGCTCCATTACCACAGGTGTGAAAGTTGTTTTCCTGAGTATTCAATTGCTGATGGCTGCAAATTTTCCCTTGTTCAAATGAATCTAGCTCTCCTTTTATTTCAATTTTTTTTTCTCATTTTCATGTATACTTGTTTAGTCACATTTCTTTATGAGCTCTGTGGGTGAT